TTGAAGAAGGATCGAAAACCAACAAGAAGAGGAAAAAGTATGGAGAGGGATCTACCCAAGGATTGGCAAATGCTACAATTATGGAAAGTCTGAACATCGTACCAAAGACTAAAGAGCCAAGAAAAGAATGAAGACTCAGGCGAATGTGGTGGAACAGATTTCCAGTAGTGTTGATGATATCAATCTTACTGCTATGATATCCGAGTGCAACATGGTGGGAAACCACAAAGAATGGTGGATTGATACTGGAGTAACTCGTCATATATGCGCCAATAAATCGATGTTCTCATCTTACACGCCTGTGGAAGGTGATGAAAAACTCTACATGGGTAATTCATCGACCTCTAAGGTTGAAGGTGTTGGAAAGGTTGCTCCGAAGATGACATCTGAGAAAATTGTGACACTAAACAATGCGCTACATGTGCTAGACATACGCAAGAATTTAGTGTCCGAATCTCTCCTTAGCAAGAATGGTTTCAAGTGGGTGTTTGTATCTGATAAGTTTGTACTCTCCAAAAATGAGATGTATGTAGGAAAGGGTTATCTTAGTGATGGTCTGTTCAAGTTGAATGTAATGACTGTTGCACCTAATGATGTTATGAATAAAGTTGTTTCTGCTTATGTGCTTGAGTCTTTTGATTTATGGCATGCCAGACTAGGACATGTTAATTATAAGTCAATAAAGAAATTAATGAACATGGGGTTATTGCCAAAATTTGACTGTCCAAGTGAAAAATGCCAAGTGTGTGTTGAATCTAAGTTTTCTAAGCCTCTTTTTTATTCTATAGATAATAGAATCACAAAACCTTTAGATTTAATACACACAGACATATGTGATATGAAAGCAATACCGTCAAGGAGTGGTAAGAAGTATTTTATCACTTTTATAGATGACTGTTCGAGGTATTGTTATGTTTATTTGCTTAGTAGCAAAGATGAGGCTGTGAATGCTTTTAGAACTTAAAAGTCTAAAGTTGAAACTCAGTTAAATAAGAAAATTAAAATGATAAGAAGTGATAAAGGAGGTGAATATGAATTTCCTTTTAAATAAATTTGTTCTGAGTTTGGTATTATTCACCAAATTACTCCTCCTTATGCACCACAAGCTAATGGAGTGACGGAAAGGAAAAACCGGTCTTTAAAGGAATCAATGAATGCATTGTTGATTAGTTCCGGTTTACCACAGAATTTGTAGGGGGAAGCTATTTTGACGGCGAATTTTATCTTAAATAAAGTACCCACAAAAAGACACAACAAACTCTCTATGAAAAGTGGAAAGGCAAAACGCCTAATTTGAAATATCTCAAGGTGTGGGGGTGCTTGACTAAGGTTGCAATTCCTAAACCTAAAAAAGTTAAAATAGAACCGAAAACCGTTGATTGTGTCTTTATTGGATATGCTATTAATAGTAATGCATATCGATTTCTTGTTCATAAGTCTGAGGTTGTAGATATACATGTTAATATGATCATTGAGTCAAGGGACGCTTCGTTCTTTGAGAATATATTTCCATATAACATAGTATGTGAGCCAATTAACATTGATAAGAGGCCTCGGGATATTACACCTAGAGTAAAAAACAAAGAACTTCTGAGTCTTTTGGACCTGATTTTCTAACATATTTGTTAGAGAATGAGCCTCGGACCTTTAAAGAGGATGTGACGTCCCCAGAAGCCCCATTCTAGAAAGAAGCTATCAATAGTAAAGTTGAGTCCATCTTGTCAAACCATACTTGGGAATTGGTTGACCTTCCTCCAGGTAATAAACCACTACAATGTAAATAGATTTTCAAGAGGAAAATGAAAGCAAATGATACTATTGATAAATATAAGGCTAGGCTTGTGGTAAAAGGATACAAGCAACGAGAAGGTCTTGATTATTTTAACATCTATTCACCTGTTACTAGAATTACACCTATAAAGATGTCAATTGCCATAGTAGCGGCGTATAGGCTTGAAATTCATCAGATGGATGTGAAAACAACTTTCTTAAACGGGGATTTGGAAGAAGAAATATATTTAGAACAACCTGAAGGGTTCATTGTTCCAAGACAAGAGAAGAAAGTATGTTGGCTCATCAAGTCACTCTATGACTTGAAACAAGCACCGAAACAATGGCATGCTAAATTTGACCAAGTCATATTGTCGAATGGATTTAAGATTAATGAGTGTGATAAATGTGTATGTGTTAAGAACACTCATAATAGTTTTGCCATTTTGTGCTTGTATGTAGACGACATGCTTATAATGGGCAGCGATATTGAGGTTGTCAAAGCGACCAAACGCATGCCTATAAGTAAATTTGATATGAAAGATATGGGGGTTGCAGATGTTATTTTAGAAATTAAAATCCATAAGACATATGGAGGATTAGCTCTATCACAGTGTCATTACATTGAGAAGATTCTTGGAAAGTGCAAGAATCTAGGCATTGTACAGGTAAAGACCCCGGTAGATGTTAATTTACATCTTTCAAAGAATACTAATGAAAGCAAAGCTCAAAATGAGTATGCTAGTATACTAGGCAGTCTAATATATGTCATGAACTGGACTAAGCCGTATATAGCTTGTGCTGTGAGCAAGCTAAGTCGATCTACAATTAGTCCAAATGAAAATTATTGGAGAGCTATGAAACGTGTATTGGGCTATTTGAAGCATACTCAAAATTATGCTTTGCACTACACAGAGTATCTAGCAGTACTTGAAGGATATTGTGACGCAAATTGGATAACCGGCACAAGAGGCACAAAATCCATAAGTGGGTATGTGTTTATACTTGGTGAGAGAGCAGTGTCTTGGAAATCATCCAAACAAACTTTTATTGTGAGGTCTACTATGGAAGCAGAATTTGCTGCTTTGGATAAGGCCGGTGAAGAAGCTGAGTGGCTTCGAAATTTCTTAGAAGACATTCCTAATTGGCCTAAACCAGTGCCAGTTGTGTGTGTTCATTGTGATAGTCAAGCGGCAATAGGCAGGGCAAGGAAAGTCATGTATAATGAGAAGTCCCGACATATACGTCGAAGACACGATACTATAAGACAACTACTCTCTAGTGGAATTATCATAATTGACTTTGTGAAGTCAAAAGATAATATTGCGGATCCATTAACAAAAGGCCTAACTAGAGAGATGGTTGTGAAAACATCAAGGGGAATGGGTTTAAGGCTTATAAAATAAGTCATCATAGCGGAAATCCTACCCAGTTGACTGCAGATCCCAAGATCTAGGTTCAAAAGGACAACCAAGTTATGTAGGCGGTATAGAGTACTGTCAACTCTTACTGATTCTCGTATGGAGACAGTACTAACATGTGAAGGTTAAGTGTAAGCTTTTAATGATTCTGTTTTGTGTATGTGTTGTACCACACATTCAGAAATCACCTATGTGAGTGTGAAGTGAGGGCCGCTTCTATGAAGAATTTGAAAGGCCGAATTCTCGAAAGCACTCATCAAACCAGGCAATGTTCATGGCCAAAACGAACACAACAGTGAAAACCAACTTTGTTTGAGAGATAGTTGTGTAATTCATATTGTCTTGACTTACACCGAACGTCAACTGTTCAAAGACATCAAGTCTACTGATTGACCGAGTAAGTCCGATGGGTCTCACTAGGGAAAGTTCAAAGTCTCCGACTATTTATCCCAATGCAGCGTTCTCTCATGGAATAATCGCACATTACATCTCATGCATGCACGAAGAGTCATGATATCTGAACTTCTCATTCATGTGGGGGATTGTTGGGATTTTGGTATCCAAATCCCATAGAAGGTGAATGAGAAGTGTGGTTCAGACAGTTTTGTTTTTCACCGAACAGACATATTATTGTTTTGGCATTTTATTTTTTTGGACAGATACGTCTGTTCGTGATTGTTCGCTCATTTATTTTCGGATAGATATGTATGTTTGTAAACCAAACGAAACTTTTCCGTTCTTCGTGACTCTTTATTGTTTTTAAATAAAACAAAAAACATTTGTGTTTTGGCGCGCCATTTTTTCTACTATTCTCTTATTCTTCACCATTGTCATTCAAGCGATTAATTTACAAAATTGCGTTCAAAGGTTTCCTTTGAAGAAATGCCGCTTCATAGGAAAGGCGATCCGTTCTATCCTGGGAGGCAATTGTTCAAGAACCTTGGGTACCGGTGGAGGAGACAAATTGTCTTAAGGACACAACATGAATTCGTTGGGCTCGGATCATTCGTCAATATTCGGATTACTCATCTACACTTTAAGGTTTGTCGAACAACTTTATTTTGCACGTACGAACACTTAGGAGTCAACAATAAACGTGTCATAAACCAGACGTTTGTTGCGATTTTGGCTTTTTGCCTTAGGGGGGAGGTTCGCCGCTCGTTGGTAGTGTAGCTCGGTTGAGAGTCTTACAAGGAAAGGCTGCTTTCCGGGAGGTCTTTTTTGGTGGGATCGATCAAACTTTTTCTTCACGGGACTACAGAAGACTATGGAAGAAAGCTCATGATATTTGACATTTTGATGGATTAAGCAAAACCCAATTCGTTACATAATCTTTTTATCGTTAAAAGTCATGAAAAAAAAAATTGACAAAAGCACGTAGATTACAAAGGAGATTTATAGTAATATGCGGCGAGATGCAAACATTTCGAGACTCGAAAATCTTTTTTGGAAGGTTGATGTTGGATAGAAAAAAATGCGAGCTTTTCATGCTAACATACATCGAGAGATCACATAGAACTATTAAGGACGTTTTGGGAGATAAAGAAAAACAGGCTTGGGATCCCCTAAGGGTCGTAAGTTCTCCATTACTTAATACAATAGTAGAAATTAGAATGAATCAGAGTATCAGACGGCAACTAGTTCTCTATTTTTGTTGCTTGGTGTATGGAGAAAGCGAGAGAGATTCCGAAGTCTTGCTCTCTACACAAACTTCTTAACACGCCAAATCTTACCACGGTGTTACTCCAACTGGATTTCGCATATGTAAATTTTCCGTCAAATGAAAAGAAGATAAGCCGAAAGACTTCAAAAAAACACACTCTTCTCTGCAAAGACAATATCCTGCGATATCAATTTACATGGCGGCGCGCGCCACAAATCACACGCGAAGACTATATATCTGGCTTAATCAGTATACTCTACCTATAATGACAGTATCGAAATAATTCTCGGTCTGTTGAATAGTAGTTGTTCTCTGTGTTCTAGTGTATATTCTGTACCCAATATTTTTCTAAGGTATGAAATTCCTATATATCTGAATCCTGAAAGACATTCATCTCGAATCGATTACAACTGCGATGCGGGATCAAACCCATTGCCATTGGCAGGCCCCACCTTGTTTGAAACGGCGGCCTCGGCATCATGGTCGTTGTCCTCGATGTACCGTTTCCAATACCAATGCTGCTTCCACACCCTCTCGGTCATCTCTTCGATCGGGACGTTCTTGGTCTCGGGGATAAGAAACAGAGTGAAGACGGACATGATAAGGACCCAACCAGAGAAGAACAAGAAGATGCCGTACTTGAAGTGGCACAGCATGGAGAGGAATGCCTGGCCAATCACGAAGGTGAAGAGAAAGTTGGTGCAGACGGTCACACTCTGGCCGGCCGAGCGAGTCTCTAGCGGAAACGTCTCACTGGGGATCAACCATCCAAGAGGTCCCCAAGACCACGCGAAGCTAGAGACGAACGTGCACACCATAATGACCACAAAGATCGAGTAGCCATGGCTGAGGTCCTCTGAGTGATCCTTGACCTTCAAGCCAAGTATAATTGCTATTATAACTTGGGAAAGGAACATTTGGACCCCGGCCTCCAGTAAAAGAACACGGCGGCCGATCTTATCAACCGTGTAAATGGATACCAAGGTGGAGAGAACATTGACAGCCCCAATGATGACAGCGGAGTAAAGAGATGCATCATTGCCGAATCCAACGGTGTTAAAGAGAACTGGCGCATAAAACATGATGGCATTGATACCAGTAAATTGCTGGAAGACCTGTTTTCACATACATATAACTGACGAATGTGAGTCTAATTAAAACCAATAAACTTGGAGCTAAAATCAAGAAGCGCAAAAACAGTCATCAAGACAAATAGTGACACCAGTGAACTTCATCTGACTAGCCAAGTACACTCAAAAGATCAATACTTATAGCACGTTTGGTTGATTTAATCCGAAGGCCAAATGTAACATTTTCTTTTGGGGCCAGAAGAAAACAGTTACCTTACTTTCCTAGAGAAGAGAAAACTCAATACCATGCGCAACAGTAACCTGACCCTACTATTGTGCAATTTCAATTGGTCTTTTAAATCTATTCTATGATACATTCTACCCCAATCAGGCAATCACTACATTTTTGTGATTGAATATGATATAACAAACCATATAACAAACCTATAGACTATGCATATATGGTTTGTCAATTAAGTAGCGCTATTGTTTCCTTTAGAAAGATTATCTCCGCATTTGAAGCTGCTGAGGCTGATTATTCAATAAATCGACAACTCAAAGTTGACGAATATAATCTGGCATTTTCTGCTCACAAGAAGAACATTCTGGTAGACGGACATATTAAACAAGAAAGGTTTCACGAGATGAGAAATGAAGGGTGAGATATGATGATCGATGCCAGAAACAACACTGACCTGCATGGCCACTGCAATGACCAACTGAGGCCGATTCTTCCTCTTCAGGAGATTTCTGAAGGGATGCTTCACTTCTTTAGCAACGCGACTTGCCTCGAGAAGCTCCTGGAACTCCGGTTCAATGTTGTCAGTTCCCCTTATCCTTCTGAGCACAGCTTTTCCTTCTTCAATGCGACCCCGCTCAATGAGACTGTTAGGAGTGTCTACCACGAAAATAGCTCCCACAGTTAGGAGACCTGCAGGAATGCCGGCCAATCCCAACGATAGCCTCCAACCCCACCCTGCTTCGATCCTATTATTGCAAAGGCAGCAGTTAAGTTGCATCAGCTAAAGAAGTAGAAGAAAGAGTGTACTTTGGTCATATAGACACTGATATTTGCTATTTGTTAAGTAAGGCAGTTCATGAGCCAACTGAATTTATGAAAGGCAATTCGGCAGAACCAGGCATGCATTATCATTTATTTGTTTCATGAAATAGTTAAGATAATCTTTTCCAGTGAAATTATGATTGCGGCTCCAATTTCAGGAAGCATCTTCAATCTTTCAACTCATTGTAGCATCTAGAAATAGTAGTACAGCTGTGCCTCTTTTAGGGCGCATGCTTCTTTCTGTTTTCTGTAGTCCTGTTCTTACAATTCTTTAAAAATGCTTATCATTGACTCCAATTGTTGGTGTTCCAATATCTAAATGTTCCTTCGCATGATAAACATGGATTGACCTTTATTTACCACTAAAAGGTTGCTAGATTAACAAAACTTGATCGAAATGAAACTACAGAAAAAGACAACGAGACAATCAAAGCAGTGAACTTACTTCGCCGTGCGGTAGTTGACAAGACTCGCAAAAAGGATGCCTATGGTAACGTTAAGCTGGAAGAGTATATTGAGTCCTCCACGTATTCTTGTTGGTGCTATTTCTGAAAGGAAAAGTGGAACTGCCTGCATATGCATTCAACAAGACATCACAACATGCTCATTAGCCATCAAAATAAAATGATTATAGTAATTAAAACCACTAAATGTCACTTAACTAAAGTTACTTGAATTTTTAAGTCAATTCTAAAACAGATGACATGACCAAGGAGTAACATATGACTTCTGTTTTTTTTTTCCGGGTGGCTTGGACATATGACTAAAGATTAAATATGAGAGAAAAAGCTTTGTCAGTTGCCACCTGATGCAATGTGCAATACCTTGGCATTCTTTTCATACTTTCATATTTAACCAACATCAACATGCAAGATAACTCTGAACAAATTGCTAACCCGGCATCTTCAATTGTGAATCAAAATTTTAATGAGGTGCACAAATACAGATCAAGCACCCAGTAATCCATATTGGATGACATCTCCCCAAATGTTGAATTTGACCACGAAAGCTACAGCCTACAAAGTCTTCTAAATGACAATTGCAAGTTTGACTTCAGAGTCCAAATAAATTTAAAAAAAACTTAGATCATCTATTTCGGATAGAGAGGAACTTTGAAAAGCAAGCCTATTGAAAAAGTGAGGAGGAAGATACAAAGAAATCGGGCAGTGAAGACCTTTCCAGGATAATTCCAAGCAGACAATCACCATCATATCATATTCCATTAGAGAAGTTTGAACAAGGACAATAGCCACAAATATAAGAAGTGGGACTTCAACGTATATGAAATAAAAGCTTCTCAAAAATCATGTTATCTTGGAAAAGATCTCATCTGGTTCATTTATTTCTGTCTCACGTTCAAGAAGAAAAGTTAGATGCTTCATCCTATTTTGGTCTACTGCTTACCTCATTAAAATTTTCACTTGATCTCTCTTACAACTTACACAGATTTCACAGAACAACTCTCCATTTAAGGGAAAAACAATGTCCATAACAACACGCACAAAACTCAGAGAACAATAAACATGAACTAACCTGGTTAGCAAAACCAACGCCACAACCTAGTAATATCCTTCCAATGATGAGCATGGGAAGGTCTTCAGCTGCAGTGTTAAGCACAACCCCAACAATGAAGAAAAACCCAGCGATGAGCATGGTTAACTTCCTGCCAAGCCTCCTGGTGGTGTATGATGCAACGAAAGTCGCTATTAGCCCAGCAAGATACAGTGATGATGTGAACAGTTGAAGGCCTTGATTATCGTATTTGCAGTAATTGCTGTCGATCCCAGGCTCGGTAGACTTCCGGTAAACAACTGGGAAAAACTTTTTCAAGAAATCTGGCATTTGTGTTACACCCCCTGTTCAAAAATTAAAGACGAAGCAATCTGAGTCAGTTCCTTTGACAAGTGTAATCAGATTTCACCGCACTATAGGTGAATTGTTTCCGCGTAATCACATATTACCCCATCCACATAAAGAAGCATCCATTTACTAAGAAACATATAGCAACGATTTATCGCCACTATTGTTGATGGAGGTCAAGCGGGAGAAGGACAGAGAAAAAATTAAGAATTATAGTTTTAGTCTATGTCTGGAGTCCATGGACTAAGAATAACTATTCTTAGGTATGCCTAACTCAACCCGAGTTGTTAATTTCGAAATAAATAAGTGTTATATCACAAAACGAATTGCTCCTTCTCTGTTCTCATCGTCTATATGCAATCATCTCTAGGGTTCTGGTCTGGTAGTGCTCATCAACAAATTGCTCATGACAAGTATATCAACTGCATATTTCGTTTGAAGGCTCTTTCTTTTCTTCAAAGTGGTCCGCAAAATCGCAAATGCCTTGGAAAAATGCAAAAGGTTTTAAGAGCTTTTATCAAAACTCATCTCCTTTTGATGCTTTAGCATAATTTCTGTTCAAGGTATACAAGAAGTTTTTTTCCGCATCAACTTCATGGGATGACCAGTCCCCATACCAGCCCAAAGCAAAATTGAAGCTTGCGCAAACAATCGTAGAGCCGAAAGGCGGATTAACAACAGATCCTGCAAACTAACCCCCTTTAGCCAAAGCTCATGCACCAAAAAATCACCCAACTAATTGCGATTAATTTGTCAATTCAACAAACGTAAAGCATTTTCCGTTCAGCCAGTAGAGGTGCGGTTTGGCTGGAAGAAGAAATCTTTTCTTTTTCTTTATTCAAACGTGTCTTTCACGTTGTCATGCAGAGAATATATTTTTCTATGAAATGAAATAAATATTCTCTCTCTCTCGCTCTCGCTCTTTCTCATCACTAGACTCATCACAGTTCGCAAAATACTCTCTGTCCTTCGGACTCGTGAGGTTCAATCTCCTCCGAATCAAACACATACACTAATCTATATTCCACAAAAGACGAAGGAGACGCATCAGACAGATAAAGGAACTGGAATTTCACGCCCGAAGGCGTCGCAGCTAGTTCAGAAAGCAGAGATTCTCAGCCCCGTGCTCACAGAGGACGCGGCACTTGAACTAGAACCACAACAACAGCAACAGCAACAGCAACAGCAACAGCAACGCAGAAACAGGAAGACACTGCGACCGCGAGGAAGGAATTGAGCAACGACGGTCCGTCCTTACCGGAAACGCCGACGTCGTAGCCGAACATGAGGCCCCCGGTGGCGGCCATGATGCACGAGATGACCACGATCGGGGTGATCTTGGCCTCAAACTGTTCGCCCCCCGCCGAAGCGACGGCGAGCCCTCCCCCGGCCATGGCGACACTCCGATCGCGTCGGGGCTGAAAGCTCGACGATGCAGTGAAGAAGAAGAAGAAGAAGTAAGGAAGGAAGAAGGAGGAGACTTCCTTTCCGAATTTCGATCGTACGAAACGCAACGTGGATCGAAAAATGGAGGGAAAGGATTTGGTTTATATAGAGGTGGGAATAGGAGTGGGGGGCAGCGATCCGGTGGGGGCACCGCCTCCGGGATCTGTCCACGTGGCGGCGCTGACGTGCGTTGATTTTTCTCAGCGACGGCTGGCTAGTCAACCAACGGCTCTTGATTCCCCCCGCCCCTCGTAGCCTGCGCTGCCTTTCGAGTTACGGCCACCGTGCATGTGAAACGAAAGGGACAGGGAGAGAGAGATTCTGTATTTTTTCTATTTAGAAAAAATGACACAACCTAAATAACACAAACAGTTTCTGAATTTTGACCCAATATATAATTTAATCCCTAAACTTTTAATTTATTCAATATAATCCCTGATCTTTAACAAAATGTACAATATGATCTATGAATTTTTAATTTGTTCGATGTAATCCCTGAACTTTTGGCACATATTCAATTCAGTCCCTGAACTATATGAAAATGTTCAATTCAGTCCTTGAACTTGAATTAATGGAAAGGACTGTCAGGGACTGAATTGAACATTTTCATATAGTTCAGGGACTGAATTGAACATGTACCAAAAGTTCAGGGATGACATCGAACAAAATAAAAGTTCAGGGACCACATTGAACATTAACCTAAAGTTCAAAGACTACATTGAATAAATTAAAAGTTCATTGACCAAATTGTATATTTTGCTAAATTTCAGGGACTGTTTGTGTCATTATATCTTCTATTTATTTGCTTCCCTTAAAAAAAAAGTAGATCAACAAATATTTGATTTTTCTTTTTATATGAAAAATAGAGAGATTATGTTTTGGTGATGTATCAAATCGGAAAACTCAACGATTATGAATTGTTCGACATTTAATCCGTGATTTTTTAGAACAAAGTATTCCGTCGTTGAATTTCTCAATAAGCATCTTAAAGATACCCAGTTAATCCAATTCTTTCATAAGGTTGAGGTAACACGACGTGCGATATTTCTCTCGTCGAAGAGCGGCGAGCGAGAAAAAAAAAAATCTCTGGTGGTCCCACGTATTAATCTTTCTTTTTAACTTTAAGATAGATTACTCGGAAGTTTCTTGTGATGGGTTGTTTTCTTCGTATGTTGAATGATTTCATTGATGTATCATCCTCCTCAATGGTCATATTCAAGTGATTCCAAGATCGTTCCGTCTTAAAATACCAAAATTGGCGTTTGGTGGAAAGTTGAAATGCATCGATGCACATGTGAATCGGATCCATTTCTTCATTGACTTTTTCTTTTTTGGCTTGAATTTGGAGCACATCCCGGAGCCGACTCGACCGACGACGAACACCCCCCTGAAAAAATAGATGCACGGGGGTCGCCACCGTCGTCACCGATGCTACTCGAATCGTTTCGCAAAGGCGATAAGGAAAAGCTTGAAAGCATGTTATTAAAATCCTCAACCTTTATGATCACGTTTTGTGGCTTTTTGATCTAATCTCATTGATCAACTCCGACCCCTAACTAGATAACTTAATGGGATTCCACCCACATGGGGGAAAACATTCTCTTGCTAAAGTCTCGACACATCAATGGGAAAGTTTTGATCTTCTGCATTCGTGGAAGGAGGAATCGAAAGCGGAAACGACGGTGTTGGGTTAATGACACGTGGCACTATCGTAATTTTAGAGATTGAGTGATTGTATATGCGATTCGACGTTAATCTAGTTCCGACCGTCAAAGATTGATTCGCTTTCCGAGCATGATCTAGCCTAGAAAGTCGGGCATGTGACGCGACAATAGCAATAGAGATAGAGGTGCCCGCGACGATGGGTAACTTGAGAAAACGATACAGCATGTACGTTACTTAAATTTTGTAGACTCTATTCGAAGTCAAATACCGATGAAAAATAATGTCACGCCACCTTAATTATCAATTGATTTTTATACATTTTCAGTGTTGTTTTCTCTCACTATTCTGCGGAGAAAATTGGGTCAAAATCGTATGGATGGTCATCGACTCGTGTGAGATTGAAAGCAGCGACTCGCAAGCAAATACATCAGACATCGACATCTTTGACTTGACCTTTCACACTAGGGATTTCCGGCACATGTTATGAGACTACTAGCCTTTTTCTTTTAATAATTATATAATATGGAATCAAACGCATGGCCCCATTAGGGTCTAATCAAAACTTTAATCATGTTTTGTTAGGCAAAGAAGAGATTAATCATTTCGTGTTGACCAAAACTTTCCCCTCGAGCAGGTCGTCGAAGCCGATGGTTGATTAGTCAGAGCTCCTTTAGTTTGGGGCATGCTTCGTGCAACCCGTCATGTGAAGAGTAATCATTCGGTGCGTCGTCGTTTGGAAAATTCGTCATGCACTGGCAATATCTGGATCAATCCTGGAAATTAATTCAAATGCACCCGCAATCTAATCTCATCATCAATATTTTGCTTCGACAACAATCGAAATAGGAATCCTAAAATGATGGATACTATCGTAAGAATTCGGGGAGTCAACGTCGCCCTCGAGAAGTGAAACCTTTCAAGGGGGGGTGTAAAGTCGTGCTGGAATCAAATTGCAAGAGGGGTGAACGAGTCCTCTAATTTTGGTACGGCGACATTCGATCGGTCGTGATCGAGGCATCGACATCTCAGGAGTTCGATAACGAGCACGCTATTCGATCGCAAACAACAAGAAGGCAAACCAATGTTGTAACCACTTCTTTCAGGCTGCGTTATGTTATTAGTGGTGCTTGGTAGATTTCATACATTGATGCCATAAGACGTGATCATTTGGACCGCTTTAGCCGCAATTCCCAATGGCCGCACTTGCGCAAATTTTGCGCACCTATAGATTAGATTACGAATTTGAAAACTAACTTTGGTAGATGGATTTCCATTTTCTTGCAATAAATCCATTTTTATTCACCATGGTCGTTTTTCAATTTATGAAACCCTACCTTTTGACCTTCTCGGCTTCGCGGTTTCCGAGTCAATTCCACGTATTCCAATGTGACACACAGATTACATCACAAAGAGAGAGAGAGAGTCAATACCATCTAATTTTTTAAAATGTATTTTGTCGGCGAATACCCAAATAAAGAACAATTATAATTTCAAAAGCGCGGCCCGTCTCGCCTAGTGTTATTAACAAATTCCGTGTGGAAATGGAAACACATCTTCACCGGGCGCGATTACTAAGCGCTCGGGGAACGCTCGGGAGCGGTCGGTAGCTAACACGTGTTCGGGATATTTCTTAATAGGATCTTTTTATTGTCGATCTGTGGGGGGAGAAAGAGAGAGAGAGAGGAAGTAGGTGATGTGCAAAAGGGGGACACCAATCTTGACTACTATTGAAACTTCTAAAACAATGGGGGAGAAGCCCTAAAAAAGAGGGGGGGAAAAAGGAGAGGAACGTGTGAACTTCGGGACTTTTCCTTCGTGCTTTTTTTGTGTGGATAAGAAGGATGACAAAAAGGAGGAAGAGGGACACGGTAAATGGATAGTTTGCCGACATTTCCCTTATCTGAATTTTCCGCGAGGAAGGTCGGAACCAACTTGGATTTTTGCACTTTGGCCAAAAGGAATGGCGACGGTGATTCCCGATTGCTTTTTTTGCTCTTGCTCCGATTCCGGTGGATCGGATCGTGATGCTTTTCTTTTCTGCTGTTGACATGTGCGAGTTCGTGAGATGAAGTCGGATTGGATTTTTGTTAAGCTTGGCCATGGGCCGAAATGACGCCCGCCCGTCGCTCGGGCGGGCTTGGACATGGTTTTTCGATATGCCGTTCCGAACCCGGTCCGGCCACCGAGTGGCTCGAGAGGGAATACGTGTGTCTCTGAGCGAGTAGCTTTTTCTTAGGCGTCCGGCCCGGCTCGACCGAAACCGATTTTTGGGCAGGTGCTTGAGCAAGAAGTTTCCTGAGCTTTCGAGCTTGAAGAGGGTTTGGCTAATGGCCTTGTGGGATCGATTTCAAGTCCACCCCGGCACGCTGAGCCTAAAGTTTAATAAAACCCGGGCCTAAACCCACCTGTGTAGCGGCCCGAGTGCCCTCAAGGCACTAGTTCTAGGTAGTGGCGTGTAAGTTTTGGTAGGGGTGTTCAGTTTTAGGGCGGATCGGTTTTCACTTTGGAATTGGGAACCGACTATATCCATCCTCAAATCGGATCGAATCGGATCGGTCGGTCCCGGTCCAGTTCTTGGGTTATCTCGAGAACCGGCGGTGTTATTTTTTCAAAGATGTTTGATTTTATTTTTCAAAAGTTCATAACTATATCCCGAGGCGGTTACACTAGTACGATCCAATTCCTGAAGAGGAACTGGGAACCAGATCAGTCATTTCCAGTTATAAAAATTTAGAATTAAGTACTAGATCGATCCTCATGAAAATCACCTAGAAACGATAAGTCCGATTCGATCCGGTCAGGTCGGGTCCGGTTGCCGGATGGTCCTTGGTGCAGTCCAATTGAATGACTGCACGTAAAATGTTAATGTCCTGACAGACACAGCGTCATTCATCTGGTCAAACGATTGGACTGCCTCCCACTCTGATTTGGCTGTCAGATCGAGTAACTTAGTTTGGTGCATTGATTGAAAAATCTTGTCACGCTCTTTCCAATTTATCTTGTGGCCACATAGGTCGGCCCCATCCTCTCCAATAACTTTCATTTTTCATTTTTCTAATTTCTTGCACTTTACATAATTTAATTTAATTATTTATTTTGAAGAGAGAAAATATAACGTGCAATGCAATGACTCGAGTTCCATCCATAAGAGTGTGCAATACAACTCGGTCCCATCGTGATTGGCAATTTACATTATATTCTATTCATCATGTTCTACTCGTCGTGTTTCTTACCTTTCTTTTAGCTTATGTTTTTGAATGAAGTCGGATTCAAATACAACCAAATTAGATGCTCGATTCCCTATATCTACTGCGATGGAGGCATGATGTGAGGATTTCCCATTGAATGAATCTCTTGATTAGCAATTAGGAAGTA